GGGCAACCGCTTTAATCATCATGCGACCCGCATGATCAGAGAATTCAGTATTATCTCCGACTCAGAAGAATGATCCTCGAGATTTGAGATAGATGGTATGTAGTTGTATCGCTGTAGGAATTTTCCCGTGCTATACATCCCATATCTATAGAGGACTACCTCGGCGAGGAGTGACGACTGCCGGACCACAGACATTTGACATGTCTGACATGCTGCAATCCAGCAGCTGCTGCATGCCTTGTCCAATTAGTGTCGATCGATAGCCATAGACGCGAGGACGTGACAGCTGCGTGGGTGGATTTGGTTTCCCCAACGTTCGCATACGAGGCTGCTGTAGTTTGGTATGACTGTCCGGTATGTTGTCATACTCTACAAGCTTCAACTTACCGCATTATCGTCTTAAGATTCTTGCTGAGCAAGAGGGTGATGGCTCTGGCACATCACAGTGATCGAGGGTTGGAAATGGAACGTCGTGGAGGATGAGCTTGCCGTGTGTGTCTTCTTATCTCATGTTCCGCTTCATTTACGGCTACACTGAGGAATTCGTAAACTGGCTATGGGAACGCTTGCATCACAGCTTGCTACGACGCTCGCAGTGATACTGTATCACACGTCAAGGGAGGATAATCGCATATATTTGAGGACTGGAAAGTATGTTTCGGGATTGAATCGTCTCTCTAGACACGGGGTAAGTTACGACAGGTGGTCAACTGTCGATCAAACAGGATCGATCCGAAACAGCGATATCTCTGAAGAGTTCATGCTGTGGGCTCCAAGACAGGAAAGAATGAGCAATGAAGCTCGGTTGCCGCGGTTATCAGACATCATAGGGTTCCGACTGGAATACTCATTGCTTCTTCGCCCACGTATACCGGTGAATATTCACCTTGCATTGAGACGCCGTTCCTGGGCTCTAGTTTTAAAGTAGTACTTTAGAGAGTCCTAGTCACTCGAAACAGCTCAACCCTGAATGAGCCTCATTCGGGAACGTTTGAAATGTCACGGTAGACCTACCCAAGAAGTATTCAATCAGCTGTATGTTATTTCTTTCATCTGATTGTGCAGAGTTAAGCCGGACAGCTTCTCGTGATATCCTTTGTGGATGGGAGAGGTCAAGGCGTGGGGGAAGAACACATCGTGCAATCTTCACTCAACTTGAAAGTGAAAAATTAGCAATGGGTTGTCACTGACGACTTGTCAGTGAATACGCGGTAGCGAAAATTTTTCACTTTGCAACTCCTGCTTTCTCAAACGAGATGATTTCCAGCGGGCTGCGCAGTTTCAGAGGATTAGAAAATGCAATTTCTGATTCTTGACTTGCCTCGCTGCTTTCAGCGCTGGATCGAATTTCACTCATCGAATAAGATTACAAAGGGGCGATGCACAGCAGCTTATCACTACAGGAGCGTAAGAGTGTTATACTATAGGGATATGTATTGTATCGTTTTGTGAGCAGATATGAACTATGCCGACATCCAGGCTATAGTGGATGGTTTTGGTGGGCAGTTGGAACGCAGTTGTTGTTGTAGTACGGGGAAAACGTTTGTCACGATTTGGCAATAATCGTTTTGATTGAGAGGCGTTGTGATGACGATAGGACGTGAGGTAGTTGTGTTATAGAGCAT